CTGTAAGATTGACTTATCTTCTCCGAGGAAATGTCAACTGTTGTGCAAGGACCATGGGACCGAATTGGTGGATACCTGAGAAGTCCTCGGTGGTGATATCTCTCAGATAGTGGTTGGCAAACACCATATCGGATCTCCATAAATAACTCTCCATTATTTCAATAGCATTAGTGCAGAGCAATTGTAGATGTTGGCTCTCTAATATCATGAGGATTAGAAGCTCATGGAGGGTCGAGTCCTGCAGTCTTGTAGGCACGTACTATGACAGTTCTGATCCAAATGGAGATAGTAGTACGTGAGACTTCAGTCTGCGTAGCTTGATAGAGGAAATAAATCTCTTGCATTTTCCCTCCTGTTTGGCTCGGTGGAGATATATTTTCAGTGTTCTTACTGGCCATCGTCATAGATTCATCGTATCATGGGGTCCAAGTATATCATCAAAGCGTGTTCATAAACCTCACTTGTGAGGTGTTGGGGCACTATATTCAGATCCCAAGTTGGAGCGTATAACTTCCGTTTTAATCCTCCAATCGGAAAGCTCGTAGCAAGGCGAGTAACTGGGTTAGGTTAACTTGACGCCCGTTTTCAGTTATGATAGAGCTATTGCTGCAAGATAGGTGGACAAGTTGAGCCTTATAAAATCTTAGTCTGACGTAGATAACATAAGTAGTCCGCCACTTGAGGATGAGTAGCATATCTAGCTGTAAATCCTTCCTTTGCAGCATAATTGACAAACTGTGCCATTTGTCATCGTATAAGTTGCCAGTTGAGTTACGCAGGGCAAGCTAGACTGCTTTGCCGCTCTGGCTGAATAACTTGTTATTCAGACACGCTTTGATACAATCCATACGTGAGGTTGGAATATATCTGGCTTTCCGTGCGCTTGTTTGGTGTGCGGATGTATTAACAGATTCGAGCACTCTGTAAGATGTAGTATTGGTTGTCCGATTTCTTGAATAAAAGTTGGAAACCATGTTCTCGCTGGTCAGTAGGCCGTGACCAAATTCAGATGGAGGCTCTGCTTTTGACTGATTTTGAGTAAACTTGTGAGATTAACGCTGGTGGCGGAAAAGCGTACGCGTTGAGTCCTTCCCACGATATGCTTAGTGCGTCTGTTGCCAATGCTAGTGGGTCTGGAACTGGCGATACGAAAGTTGTCAGTTGTTTGTTGAATCGAGTGGTAAATAGGTCTATTAGTGTAGTTCCTATTTCCTTGATAATTTGAGTGAATATCTCTGTATGGAGCATTCATTCTGTCAGCGATGGTATGTCTGGCCGAGAGAGAGCGTCTGCTATCACATTCTTTGCTCCTGGAATGTGATATGCTCTGACATGTATGTTGAGATTGTCGATTAATCGAACAATTGAAAACAGAGTCGATATGTTCGAGGACCTGGTTGAGCTTAGTTTGTTCACATAAAACGCCACTGTCGAATTGACTGTGTGAATCATCCACTGGGTATACTGTAGTAAGTTGCTCCAGAGCATTAAGGCGTTTATTACTGCTTGTATCTCTAGCAGATTTATGTGTAATTTGTTCTCTTGATTGCTCATAGCCCTGACGCCGTCCTGTCGGCAAGATGGGCTCCCCAACCTTATAGTGACACATCTACGTAGAGAAGTGTTATCGATTCCAGCTCTATTAACGAGACGCCTATTCAAACATTCGATCTCTTGGTCCACCATAGTAGATGAGGTTTGACCTGAACCGGAGAATTGAACGGTAGAGATTCGTCTAGATGCGAATTGATGATGACTTGTAACGGATGTAATTGTAGTCTGCCTCTGCCTGTCATGTCTTGAGCTGAGCTGAAGTGCGGAACCCCAACAGACTCTGTCACTGTCGTAGTGGTAGTGGAGATAGTAAGGCTTGTGGAAATGACTGTTGGATATTGATCCATGGTTCTCCGGTACAATTATACGATTCTGCGCTGTTACAAATCAAAAACCTAGAATTAGCAGATCTTGCGAAGGTTCTAGGTCCAACTTAAGTAGGTTTACTAACCATCTAGTTGTGTTAGTAGCTTGATGATGAATTCAACTGTAGTCTGAGACGCTATGGATTTGGATCCATTTGTATCCTGTCGTCGAGGTAAATTCGCTGCGAAGTGCTTGACGATGTAGGTGCACAACCAGGGGTGACTGCCATCGTTGAACTTTATGTAAAAAATCGCCTGACTGCCATGCCCTCGTCCTTACTTGACAGGCGAGGTCTCTAACCTCAAGAAGGCAGCCCAATCATGAAGGATCAGATTAGCTGGACTGTAAGGAGGCTTGCTCGTTCACTGATATATTGTTGTCACTTGCAACCTATGTGTTGAACTGTGAACTATGATCGACCTCTTTACCCGCGAGTACCCGCGCTGTGATGTCACCGGTGTAGCAGGAAAAGGAACCTTGTAAAATATTAGAACAATCGTCGGTTTTCATCGTAGCTTCCCGAAGTTACCCGAGTGACCACGTGTTTCGAGGGTTGATGGTAAAAGTGCGAAACCTCCGGCGCGAAATACCTTGCTCTGTAATATTAATGCTGGGTAGGTTATTTTCCTGGCTGTCGTGAAAGTAACTTCAGTCTTGAAGATAATTCCGACTTCCTTATATAAGGTTCAATAAACCTTGCAAGTTGTCAGCTTGTAGATTGTTAAAGCTGAACTTGTACATATTTCTTCTCAGGAAATCGTTGACGATTATGAGTTTTACTCGCTGTAACAAGGCTGCTGTTCAATTTCGTTATTGAATTGTCTGCAGATCTGCGTAATGGTCACGCATGTAGATAATCGTATTGTAGTAGGTAGTCGGCTTGAAGATCCTTAATTAGGCTCTTCATCTGTTGATAAATTAATACAGCGACATTCTGTGTTGTAAATAGCCTGTGCAATTGTCTTCGCGTAGGCTTGTAGACGGCATATGGCTTACAGTTGATAGACAACTCATGCGATGTCTTGAACGGACTGACGAGTGGCTATATATGACGAGTGGATAGTATATGGAGACCTTGGAGGAGACTTCGCGAAGATCTCGAAGTAACTTTTTAGATCTTCTGGGTGAAGTAGACTTGGAGCCACGTGACCTTCGCGAAAGTATCGAGTCAGAGTCCGATCAATATATGAGCGCTTGCTTCGCGAACGACCTCTGTGTTCTACAGGGTGTGGGCTCGGCGAAGCGCTCCCGCAAATCAATATATGAGCGCTTGCTTCGCGAACGACCTCTGTGTTCTACAGGGAGTAGGCTCGGCTGGCGCTCCTTCTCCGCCGATGTCCCTCGCGAACTAGTGAGGCTCTAGCTCCTTCGCCGGGCTGCCCTGGGACTTCCTTAGAGCGTAGTGTTCGCTACGGGCTGGGTTGCCCTTCGCGGAGGCTCGTCTGTGGGCTCAAAGGCCCTACGCGAAGCCAAGGCGGGCTCTAAGGCCCTCTATGACTTAGTATGGGGTGGGCTCTGAGGCCCGTGGCTCTGAGGCCTCTGTAAGCCGTGAACGGTCTTCCATCAGCCTCATGATTTGGTTGACCAGGTCATCTGGGATGGTCTCTGCGCTGGCGCTTGAGGGTGTCCTCTCTGTGATAGTGACGGACCCTCAGTTATAATCTCCGGCGTCCAGCGTAGGCATCTCTGATTGCATGTTGATCAGCGCTGAAGTGATGGTAGCCGATACTGGTCACTTCTTATGACATACATCTGGAATGATAATCGAAATGTCATCATCATATAAACATAATTCTGAATATCAGAAGCAAAGTTTTTTTTTGTTTTTTAAGTAGCCTTCGTGGATTTCCCTTTAACGAGGCTGTAGACCTGGGGGTTCGGAGCGTACGTTGAGACGACGTGGAAGCTCATCTAGTCTTAGACTGTGATGAAGGAATGTCCTGGGAAGCAGGTCACTTCTAGGATATAGCGGACTGCGTCCCACGCTTATCCCCCGAAGGTAACTCAGGATATATCTGACTCCGATCTATTAGCCATGATTGAAGATTGTTTCCGAGATTTATCTGCCTTCCGTCTCAAAACGGAACATAAATATTTATCAAAGGCAGAAATTGGTAAATTAATACATAATTTACAACGAGAAACAATAGAACATGGAGTAATGCAACTAGGGCATTTTAAATGTGGATCGGTAGCAGAGTAACGTAATTTACAAACAGTGCAGATTTTATTAACGCAAACTGCTGAGCAAACACGGCGAAACGTGAATCAAGCAGCAGAAACACGAATAATTATCAAAGCATGTTGAATAATGATACTAATTACACCTCTATAGATGAATATAAGAGGTAACAAACTAAATATAGATAAAGGATATAGTGTGCAGGGAGACACAGGTGCTCTCACGTCTTGCTTACTGGGCGAAGAAGGAGAGAGTGAGGCACATGGGTTCAGGTGGCGCCCTCGTTCCCGCGCTTGTGGAAGGGAGGTAACTCGTGGTGGGTACTAATGAGTGATTTTTTATTGAAGGGGAACTTCAATTGGGAGATACAAGTGTTCCACTAGGTTCGCAAGAAGAAGAAGACAAGCAATAAGCATGAGTCAGGATAAGGAAAAATCTTCCGTTTACTGGCCTGAACGGGCTTAACCATTTTGAGCAAATCTCAGACGAAAAAATTTTCACGGCCACTCAGAGGAGCGACAAGAAAGAGAATGAGTGTGTGAGGTGATCACGTGGGTGAGGACTGCGCATGCCTCGTGTTGTCATGGACTAGTGAGCACGACTGAGACAGGAAGGCATGCACAGCACAGGGAGAGGGCAAGGTACGTCTTGAGCACAGTTTTAATTCGTTTCCACTCATGGTCGAATGAAGAGAGAGAGGTGCAAGTCGTGAGATAGGATAAGTTTAAAAATTGCATGTTTCTGCACATCGATTGACCCTGACATCAATGTTTGTTCTTCTCATCACGGTCAGGTTAAAGGAAGTGAATCTTCCGTCATTTATCGCAACACAACTGAAACATCATAAAAGTTGATCATTGAGGATGATCTGAGATTTAGACAATTTTTCTTTGCTCACCCTGCTTCAACTTCTTCATCAACCTCGGGAACATTGTCTTTTTCTGTGAAATGCAAACAATATTTGTTAAAACGTTGTGGAAAGAGCCATTATCTCTTGCATGTGATTTCAGATCAATTAATTAATAGAGAGCTGGTTAATAAGGGAAAAAGCATAGAGTGACTGAGTATGGTTCTATGCCGCTTTTAGCAAGAGTCCAGCATTATTACGGCAGGAACTCTAGACAGGGGATTCACACATTGTAGCTTTAACGATTATGATATCCCACTACTCCCAGGAAGCTTCCGGTATTCGGGCACAAACATGGTGTACTGGGATTATGGTTAATGACTCATTATTCTAATGCCATGATCTTCTGGTCCAAACTATTTCCACGTACATGGTACCAGCACTCATCAACTCACAAATACATGTATACACTGCACCACCATAGACTATTCAACATATCTGACTCACTTGTAACGGTTAAACCAGGCGTGGGGGATTTGGTCGGTACAGTTGATGGAGATTTGGCAGAGTTCGGATGGGGTACACTGAAAATGTAAAACCAATTTAATCACAAAAAATAAATGAGGTGCCGGCCTAACACCTGAGAAAGGTATGAGTTAGTGATAGAGTGAGTGAGTGAGTGAGTGAGTGAGTGAGTGAGAGAGAATTTACCTGATATTGTTGACTGAGCTCGCAAGTGAGGACATCAGCTGACACGGCCCACATCCAACACCTGGACGGTGGGTACCCTCCGGACAAGGAACACAGGCTCCTGGCAGCATAAAAACACAATGGTGAAGAGTTTACAAGAAAAAATTTCTGCATGTGAAAAGTATCCGCAGAAAATGTAAGAAAGTAACTTTCCTTACAAAAATGGATACTGAAATAGTAAAGGTTAAAATACATTTTAGAAATTCAGGCCATTCTTCTTGTGACCCAATGCACTAAAGTGGAACTTATACTGATGTGGGTCTTCGTCAAACGTTCTTCTTGTGACCTTATGCACTAAAGTGGAACTTATACTGATGTGGGTCTTCGTCAAACGTTCTTCTTGTGACCCAATGCACTAAAGTGGAACTTATACTGATGTGGGTCTTCGTCAAACGTTCTTCTTGTGACCCAATGCACTAAAGTGGAACTTATACTGATGTAGGTCTTCGTCAAACGTTCTTCTTGTGACCTTATGCACTAAAGTGGAACTTATACTGATGTGGGTCTTCGTCAAACACTCCTGGTTCCACCTGATGATGAGAGATACCAACCTATATGTTAACTCACCATTCTTGTGGTATGTGTTTTCTTTGCATTTGGAGCGGAAATGCCTACATTCGAATTGGTCTCCATAGTAACAGCGTGACTGATCACATTCACACTGACCAATCTTGGACGAAGATAGCCTTGCTTCTGAAACATCACAGGCAGCCTCCATTAGCTTATTGAAACATACAGCTCATTCAAGCATTTTCTTTACCATCAAAGCAATGTCATCAGTAAAATATATAACTCCCCATCCTTGGACAATGCTTTAACATATTTAGTCTTCAACATTTAAAAACCTGATACTTTAACCACATCACAATCTACAGTCCGTTTGAGTCATAAACGGACCGATGAATTGCAAATTTTATCAGAAAGGGACAGCTAGGTGTTAGAGAAGCAAGTGAACAAGTGCCCACCAAGTTATTGATTCATTAGCCTGTGCTGTGCCGTCTCCATCCTTTCTCGCACACCTGGCTGTTCCTTTCTCTGCACTCCTCACTCGTAACAAATAGTGAACTGTGTCAAAATTTCGTTGATAGTTTCTTAAAGAACTTTTTGGTTGAGTCCGGACAATTTTCAAATATAAGAAAGCTGTTGCGTATTAGTGAATGATAAACATGTGTACTATTTATATTTATGAGGCAATTTTGTACAATGATAAAATTTGCAATTCATCGGTCCGTTTATGACTCAAACGGACTGTAGGAGTGTAACAATTAGGGCTGGCTAAAATGATTAATAATCAGAAACATTGTCAATAGGAAAGATTATTACAGAAAAACAAGGAAAAGTTGGACTGGTTCAGAGAACGAGTTTACGAGAAGTAGGCGGTGCAGGGCAATGAGAAAACCCATTTGGTTTGTGAAAGGTAGAGCAGATGTAGGCTAGTGCACGTGCATTGCATGACGATGAAATTGATTCCGTGCATACAGTCTGTAGCTGCACGCGCCTTGCTCATAAAACTCTCACGTTGGTATAGCAAGTAGCACTACACTTGATCGCGGACAACCTGGGGGACCCTCACTAACAATGGCAGGCGCCAGTGGGCGGCACTCATACATGCTAATACAGGTCAATTGTCAGGTCGGTGCTCACCTTATCCTTGTTTGCAAGTAAAGATTATTGATATGAAAATCGTGTTAGCCATTATATCGTTCATTAGCTTTAGTGATAGAAAAAAGTTTGAATTTTCTCACACAGTATACAAATTTAGGCAGGGTTCGAAATACCCCATATATTAGCGTGCCATGGCACGGTAAATATCGAAATGGCAATGATAAAAAATGTTCTTGGTGCCCTTATGGCACGCCTAATTTTTTAGAGACATAGCACACCTTCAGTCACTTAAATACCCCAAACAAAACACTTAAGCAAATGACAAACAAGCAAAAACATTTATTGACTTTTACGCCCAGGAAATGACTGGAATTATGATGGATGATGTAAAGAAATCTGGTTGTTTTTCCATTTAGAGTGATGGGAGTACTGATAGTTCGGTTAGGGAAGAGTAAATTGTGTATGTTAGATATATTGAAAAAGTGAACCTCTCACACGATTCTTGGCTATAAAGGTGATGGGAAAGCAGAACAAATGTAACATAAGAAAGCCATCTTAAGCAGAAGACATATCAGTGATAACAGAAAACTGGTTACATTTGTTGTTTTCTGAATAAAATCCATGCAAAAACATGGCGTCACTCACCATTGAAACATTCATTTCTTTCAAACATTTGGGCATTTTTGTTACAAAAACATGTTACGCCTCTTTCAAACATTTATTGATAATTGATTGATATTTAGTTAACAAATATCGATCAATATTGTTAGCCCACCCTAGTAACGATATATAAAACTATCAATGTCTTGCAACAGTTTGCCCCATGATTGTTCTACATTGATGACATCATACTAATGTCATACAGCGTTGAATATAGTGGAGTGTGATGATAAAACCAAAACGAGAAAACAAGGGAACTTAAAAACATTACCTATTAAGCTAACTTGAGCTGAGTTTACTGAGATAGTGATACTACTTCAATCTAACCTTCAGGACAAACTAGAGCCGGTAGCAGCGATCCTCTTCGGTTCTGAGGTAGAGTTGAACAACTTCACCAGACCACGTTCACACTTAACACAGGTATCAGGTTCACCATCTTCTATACATCGCTGAACTCTAAAATCTAAAATTACCAAAAATATACACAAAAACGGGTGGAGTATGAGAGTGAGCTTACAGATATAAATTGGAAGAAATTATCAACACTATTCCAGTTGTATCACAGCCTCTTAGCTACATGTGGAAGGAGAGCCTGAAACATGTTCGACATTTACTGCAACGCTGAGACTTACAAGCATGTATTCACGATCCTACAAATATATTCCTCAAAACTGGGAATTGAACCTACGATCATCGGTTTACGACATATTCAAGGGAAGCAACTTGCACATCAGACTGCGGCACGCTTAGACTTGGTTATGATTTGGTTGTTGTTTAATGCCGCTCTCAGCAATATTCCAGCTTTATAATGGCAGTCTGTAAATAATGTGGACCAGACAATCCAGTGATCAACAGCATCTGCATCATTCTACGCTGCTCAGGATACACGATGACATATGTAAACCGAGTCAGCTTAGCCTGACCACCATATCGCCAAATCACTGAATCATCTCAAGTCTTCAGCTTGACAAGTGAAGATTTATTCAAGTCAACTATTTGCTCAAATGTCGATTGACTGACAAATTTGACCAGTCTCATATCTCACTTCATCATATCTCTCAGTCTTGACATATACTCACGTAGTCCACAGAAGTTCGGGGTCTCAATTGGCACACAGCACACAGTTTCGTACTGTATCTGACCAGGAGCGCAGGATGGAACACTCTTACAGAACTAAACAGAATACAGAATCTCAGAATAAGAGAGTGAGAAAGCAGATATGTTTTATACTATTTAGCAATATTATAACTATGTGACAACAGTCTAGGATTATTCATGTGGAGTGGCTGACAGCATGAGCATCGATCCATTATCAGTCCACATCTCATCTCATGATCGCTATGATCTTTCTTCCCTAGAATCCCACAGGAGACAAGCCTGAGGTACAGTGGACCCATCTGCCCTAGAATCCCACAGGAAGCAAGACCAAGGCACAGTGGACCTATCTGCCCTAGAATCCCACAGGAAGCAAGACCAAGGCACAGTGGACCTATCTGCCCTAGAATCCCACAGGAAGCAAGACCAAGGCACAGAAGACAAGCCTGGCACAGTGGACCTATCTGCCCTAGAATCCCACAGGAAGCAAGACTGAAGGCACAGTGGACCTATCTGCCCTAGAATCCCACAGGAAGCAAGACCAAGGCACAGTGGACCCATCTGCCCTAGAATCCCACAGGAAGCAAGACCAAGGCACAGTGGACCTATCTGCCCTAGGAATCCCACAGGAAGCAAGACCAAGGCACAGTGGACCTATCTGCCCTAGAATCCCACAGGAAGCAAGCCTGAGGTACAGTGGACCCATCTGCCCTACAGAGAATCCCACAGGAGACAAGCCTGAGGTACAGTGGACCTATCTGCCCTGGAATCCCACAGGAGACAAGCCTGAGGTACAGTGGACCTATCTGCCCTGGAATCCCACAGGAGACAAGCCTGAGGTACAGTGGACTTATCTGCCCTGGAATCCCACAGGAAGCAAGCCCAAGGCACAGTGGACCTATCTGCCCTAGAATCCCACAGGAGACAAGCCTGGGGTACAGTGGACCTATCTGCCCTAGAATCCCACAGGAAGCAAGCCTGAGGTACAGTGGACCTATCTGCCCTAGAATCCCACAGGAGACAAGCCTGAGGTACAAGTGGACCTATCTGCCCTGGAATCCCACAGGAAGCAAGCCTGAGGTACAGTGGACCTATCTGCCCTGGAATCCCACAGGAGACAAGCCTGAGGTACAGTGGACCTATCTGCCCTGGAATCCCACAGGAGACAAGCCTGAGGTACAGTGGACCTATCTGCCCTAGAATCCCACAGGAGCAAGCAAGCCTGAGGCACAGTGGACCTATCTGCCCTAGAATCCCACAGGAGACAAGACCAAGGCACAGTGGACCTATCTGCCCTGGAATCCCACAGGAGACAAGCCTGAGGTACAGTGGACCTTTCTGCCCTAGAATCCCACTGGAGACAAGCCTGAGGTACAGTGGACCTATCTGCCCTAGAATCACACAGGAAGCAAGCCTTAGGTACAATGGACCTATCTGCCCTGGAATCCCACAGGAAGCAAGCCCAAGGCACAGTGGACCTATCTGCCCTAGAATCCCACAGGAAGCAAGCCTGGGGTACAATGGACCTATCTGCCCTGGAATCCCACAGGAGGCAAGCCTGGGGTACAATGGACCTATCTGCCCTAGAATCACACAGGAGGCAAGCCTGGGGTACAATGGACCTATCTGCCCTAGAATCCCACAGGAAGCAAGCCTGGGGTACAATGGACCCATCTGCCCTGGAATCCCACAGGAGGCAAGCCTGGGGTACAGTGGACCTATCTGCCCTAGAATCACACAGGGAGCAAGCCTTAGGTACAATGGACCTATCTGCCCTAGAATCACACAGGAAGCAAGCCTTAGGTACAATGGACCTATCTGCCCTAGAATCCCACAGGAGACAAGCTACAGCTGCAGATTCTCGGTTTCAGTTTTATCTTCTTTTCTGAGTTTCTAAAATTTCATTAGTCTGTCATACAGACCCTGAAACAAACATATCCAAGAAAGCCCAAGAAAGTCTAGAATAAGTAGCAAGTTTAGATTACCACATTTGCACTGAAAATGAAGAAAGTCTCTCGCTCCTTTTCATTCTATATTCTATGATGATAATTTAAGAACATTTTGGGTAAAATCTGTTCATTTCAGAGACCATATGTTAGTCTAATATTTCATTAACGTAACTATCCGGCTTCTTAAAAAACAACGGTTAGCGTGGAGTAGCCTAATGGTTAAAGCGCTTGCTTGTCACACAAGACCTGTGTTCGATTCCCCACATGGTCACAATGTGTGAAGCCCATTTCTGGCGCCTCCCATCGCGATATTGCTCGAATATTGCTAAAAACGGCGTAAAACTAAATTCACTCACTCACTCTTCAAAAGAACAGTATACTCACCACACTAGGAACAAAGATGGCCAAGATGCACACAGTGAGCAGAGGCTGCTTCATCCCTGCTGCAACAAATCAATGACGAAACTGAACATTATTTTCTTCATAAATTCAAAACATCTACAGTAATCAGTAACTCTTTGCAGCTTCTCACAGCTTGAGTTTCAGTGTAGTATTCCTCTGTCACAAATTAGTGAGTAAATGAGTTTAGTTTTACGCGCGACTCAGCAATATCCCAGCTATATGGCGGCTGTCTGTAAATAATCAAGTCTGGACCAGACAATCCAGTGATCAACAGCATGAGCATCGATCTGCTAAGGGGAACCGATGACATGTGTCAACCAAGCCGGGCGAGCCTGACCACCCGATCTTGTTAGTTGCCTCTTACGACAAGCATGGGTTACTGAAGGCACATTCTAACCCGGACCTTCACGGGTAGACAACCAGTAATTCTTTGTAGCTAATTTGCCAATCTGCACTAACACTGAAAGACATTGGTTTGTTGACAATACAGTCTGGGCCAGACAATCTGGTGATTGACATCATGAGCTTCCATCCACACTACTGTGACATAATGACATGCATCAACCAGGATTGGAACGGTATACCCTCGGTATTAATAGAACCTCTGTATTTTGGCGCTTGGTATACTGTAATGCAATAATAAAAATTTGGTAGTTTCGGTTTTAATAACGCTATTCTATTAAAGGTCACATGCAACGAAAAACACAACTTTGCAGATTCTGATACCTTTCGGTATAGACTTACCAAACAAATCGTCAAAAATGCAAATTCAATTTATAAAGTTGAAAAATAACGCCATGAAAAACCGCGCTAAATCGGAGTTCAAACGTTTCACTAATTTTCCCCAGACTTTTCTGGGAAAAGCGGGTTTCAACAGCTGGGCTGCGCCATAGCACGTCGCAAATAGGTTCAAGCGCAACTTGGAAGCGGGTTGTCCGATGAATACTCGGTGAATGCTTTGGTGTGAGCTATTTTTCTAATGTTTTGTTGCTATCTCACAGGCGAGCTTTTATATGTTACGACAGTAAATTAACTGTTTATATAATTTCACCACACATTCTTCTTACCGAGTCACTTTTTCAGTTCGATGCTTAAAAGCAATATCATTATTTAGCGTTGACAGAATTTCTAACTGTGATATAGATATGTCGTTGTCACAGACAAAACTCAATGTCTTGTTTTATTGACACCTGTGTGTCTGCCTGCCTGTCTGCTAATGACAATATTCAATACACAACTGCTATCACTGACCACATGCAATTTGAACTTAACACCAATCAGGCTATACACCATAAACAAAAGCGCATTGATTTATGGCCCGAGTTTAGGTCTCTGTCACATTATGTAATTGCACAGACAGGCAGGTGTGATAGTTGAACACACGACATGTTATGATGTCTGTTGATTGCAAAATGTTATACACAAAAATGAGCATGTATTTACAAAACCCAACATCTCTCACATATACACACACAATAAGCCGTGAGGGCATCTGCAAATGAACCAGCCGTTACACTTGAGTGCACACCCACCCGCTCTGACTGGGTTTGGTATCCCGGCTGCTTAGCCGTTTCTTGGGAAGTAAACCGAACTACACAATATTGCACTTATATTATATGTCACGAATAAGTAATAACAGTGTTTTAATTATGTTTGATTTTTGGTTGCATGTGACCTTTAACCTTTTAAACCTTTTCTAAAATGTCTAGAAATTGAATCATTTTGTCAAAATCTATGCATTTTTGGCTAGACGGCTCTTGTCAGTTTTCAGCATTATGATCATATCTCAAGTAGTTCTAGCAGTAGCAGAATGAGCTGAGTGGTACTGAATGAACAAAATGGCATGATGTTCACGCCACAGTTAAAAACAGTATCAACATCTACACTGAAGATATGTTCACCTCCATAAACATCACTGTGCAAAATAGCATGATATAGTAACACAATATTTACATTTGACAGCACAAATGCATCTTCCATTATTCATTTATGAACCAAATGCGATTATGAAGTAGTTTACATTTCCACTCTCGATTGATTTAATTTGTAAAGAAGACAACGATGTACTGTCTCGATAGAGCAGCGATGCGGTCTGTAAACAGTCCAGTCACTATATTTGATGGGTCGCCACATATCTATCGGCTCTCGGCTACTGTCTGGCTTGTCCTCTATATATAGTAGTTGGCCATAAGTGAGTCATCATTAGTGAAATTTCCATAGACTTACATGTTAATTAACTATTGCAAGAATAATTTTTATAAACTGAGTAGAATTCGAAGTCATTTTTTATTTTGATATTTTGCAAACATCTTGGAAATCATCTTCAATTTTTTCTTTTGATCTTTCTGTTGATTAGTTATCGAATGACACCTGATTAAGCCGACATGTTAAAACTCATTGGTATGTCTAATATATGTTGTTTAAAAGTTGCGAGTTTTCTTTAATAATCATCGGGAAATTGAAATGGAAATTACGTAGATGTTTGAATGCTTTGGTTCGTGAGTCGTGACGTTTCGAAGATACAAAACATGTCCGTTGTGTGACACTAACGACAGAAACAAACTTGTTGCAACATTGTAAAGACACGGATCCTTACCCGCTGCTGTCATTAGAGAATAACCATTCATATACATTCAGACATCGCTGTGTGACTGGTACAATCCGTGAATCGGAAACAGTTGAAACTCTTCCGGCTTGGGTCGTCGCTATTTCACTCTCGTTCAGAGACCGTGTGCATGTGTTCGTTTTATCGACTGTACTATATTCAAGGGAGGCAATTCACCACAACAGCCACATCTCGCGTGTAATATTACAAAGTTTTTGTTGTCAGTCAGTTAACGTTGTAGAGTTGTATCAATCACACAGTGCCAGCGTGGTCAATATCAGTATTCCAGTGTCACTAAGCGTAATATCGTTTGTGTGTTTGTGTTGTTTATCTGTATATAGGTTAAATGTGGCGGGCGTCATGTACATGTACTTGTGAAGCCGCTAGCCATACGTACATCCTTGTCAACTTAATAGACAGTATCCAGCTACCGTACGGTTATGGCAGGGATACCCTACAACAGGGGCCCTTATATAGTCTCCTGGTTATGGTAACGTTAAACGCTTCTTGTCTTTCTACACTTGCCTTCAAGAAAAGTTAGTATCATTGTTTCATTAACACAGTAAACTGTTTTATGTATAACTACTTTATTTTATTCTTTAGTTTGAACGTTTCACTTTTATCTTATCATAAATAAATCACAAATGGAAATCATTTTGCGGTTATGTTAGTGTCACCATAGGAATTTCCTTGTTATACCCACGGCACTTTATACGCAGCCCAGTCACTACACCTCCGTTACACTTACATGGCTTCTCTTTGGTCATCACACTGGCCTTGTCCTTATATTATCATCTATGTATATTCATTCTACTTTGTGTAATCATTTCACACAATAATGTCAATGCGCTTAGTTAATTTTACTATTTTGTAAAATGTTTATCTTCAAATTAATACATTGATCCTAAATATTAAATCTTCATACTTTTAATATTAATTGGAACAATTCTAAATAATTTTAATATTAACTCATTCTTCTTGGTTGGGTAGTAATTAGCAAGTTTATGTTGTTACAATTTTAAACATGATTTGGGTGATGCTTGTCATTGTGCCATACAGAAAAGTGCTCCTTAACCCATTATCTGCCTAAACTCATACTGTTGTAATGTTTCACCAATAATATTGATATCACACTCTGTCTCATTCTAGTATTGGAAATAAAGTACATCATGTTTTGGAAGGGTGCTTCAAGTAATGTTTCTCACAACAGGTAAAATAATTTCTTCAAAATAGTAATAAGAATGAACATTGTTGTAAATAAGTAGTATAAATAATTCATAATAAATAATAATGGCCATTTCTTATGCACTATAATCCTCACACAAGTGCAAGCTCAAAGCGCAGGGGAAAGAGGAAAAGAGTCAGTATATAAGAAGGAAAAAAGTAAGTCATCAGTTGTTATTTGAAAGCTGTCAGAGAATCAGAGTCTTTGATGTTTACTGGTAGTCAATTCAGTAGTATTGGGGCTGCATGAAAGAACCATCATTTACCAAATTAAGTTCGGAAAGTCGGTAACGTAACTAGGAGCTGATTGAGAGATCGAAAAGTTCTGGCTGGTGTGTATACAGTGATCAAGTCAGTTAGGTAGTATGGTTGTCGATGCATTTGTATATGGTGCAGCGAACTTTAAAGTTGATGTTATTCAATGGGTAACCAGTGAGGTCATATGAGCACGGCACTAATGTCACATGATTTTATTGTAACAAAATGATGCAGGCAGCAGTATTCTGTATTTTGTGCACTCTTTTTAGTTTTAAGCTGAACCCTGTTATTACCTACAAGCAGTCCATTGCAGTAATCTACTCTGTAGGAAATTAGACATCTGAGTAGAATCTTTGCACTTTCTTTTGTGATGTACTTCTGTATGTTTCCAATCCTGCGCCAAATGAATTAGCAGGTTTTATACAGTCTGTCGATATGTACATCCATGGACACATCAAACTCTAGCCATACGCCAAGATCCTTCACTGAAGGAGAAAAAGCAACCTGCCAGGAACCTATTGTTATGTTTTCACTTGTTATATTTGTAAATTGTTGTCATTACCCTGTACTCTATAATTAAATGAAAACAATTTTACTGACATGTATGTATGTTTGTAGAGGTAGTACTTAATCAAAGAGAAGAGGGAGATATTGAATTTAGTATATTTTACAGTTAATTTACTTATCTAAAATCCATCACTAGTTTACAATAGCCAGCTTATAGCTTAGAAAAATTATCAACCTATACAGGGCCCCAGATAATGTTCCATAATCATGAGTGTCACATTGAGTGATTTAATTTCGTTTTCGTTTACTTTATGGTGATACTTTTAGTCAACTGAGAGTTATCTCCCTTGGTAAACAGTGTGTGCCAAGACATGGCGAATGAAACTTGATCTTGAAGATTAAACTTTTAAGTTTAATGGACATTCCACATCATCTTTTCGACCAAGGACCAAGCATAACATGGTGTCAGAACAAAGCGAAGCCACACGCGCATTCGTTAGGACTGGAATGACAACCCAGGACAATATAAAGTGCACTGCACTGCCCAGCTGGGTGAATGGACTTTCAGCGTGGGTGTGTATAGAAGTACAGGAAAACAACAATAACGATGCGTTAAGAATATTGAATAGGTCAATAAAAATAAACAGTACTTTTTCAGATAAATACGTCTGTAACTGATTCTAAGACTGTACACCATAGCTGTGGTATGTATCTGCTATGTTTTCTAAATTATTTCCAACCATATAGTGCTTATTTTATATCTGTACATGCGCCAATAGGGCCCTTGTCTGGAGCCCTGCCTGTACATCATGGTTTGCAATTTGTTTGTTGTATGAATTCTTTGAATAACAAAGCAATAGGCCAATACACAAAGCTAAAACCAAACAACAGTCAACTTTGCTATATTGTTATATATCATCCTGAATTTACATGCATTGTATGTCTGTCTTGCTGGCTTAATACAGTGGGTAATAATCTATAGCCCGTGTTTTATACTGTATTGTCTTCTTTCATCAAAATGCTTTAGTTTACGTGGTAGTTATATTCATATCTGTGATACTGTATTATATTTACTGTCCATTGTCGACTAATTTTACTCTTCATAATGTTTTCATCTTTATTGTATAAATTGTTTTCATCCTCATATGGCTGAGACAGTGATATATGTACAAAATCACCCCATGAAAATTCATTAGCCATTCGGGACAATGACTGTAGATTTACTGGCCCACCTGGATTTTTTTACTAGCCAGGGGCTAGCCAGACCAGAGGCTATTTCGCATACTGCTTCTGGTATTCACGTAGTACTGTACATACTAATCAAGCTTTTGACATTTAATTACAAAAGTAAGTAATTGTTCATGAATTTCCATTTTCTCTCATATTTTGTCATACATCATTCTTTACCACTCATATATCACATGATGTTAATCTAAACTACCTTATTTATGGCAAAATGGTGTTCCCATTTTTTTCAAATTACATTAAACTTTATAACATCAATTTACATCATTTAAACATATGTTTCCCAAAGAATGAACACCTAACTTTAGTTTCAACAGTTTTACTTTTGGCTAACATAACTCTGTCAGTGAATCTGTCATGTTACATGTATACTCATACATCCTCCAGTATTAAATGCAGTAGCTCTAATATTGCTGAGTGTAACATTAAACTTTAATCCAACCAGCCAACTCTGGAACAACAGCATTAAATATTCATCCTCAATTTCACTGAACAAATCCCACCCTTATATACAAATCTGGGTACTGAGTCAGAATAGACCGATCCAGTCCCGGCCGATAAGCCCCGCCCACTTCGTTTTGACGTTAGGGGGACAACCACGGACTAATCACAATGGGGTCACCGCCCGGCGAAACGTATGTGACTGCTGCGAATGTTGTTGATGAATTCTGTTTGTTGTACTTTGGTATCCGTCGTTTGTGAATGATATGTAAAAAGGAAAATTTACGTAGTGTATTTTCAATATATTTTAGTTTTCAGGTTGTATAATTGGCGAGTGAAAATGTAGTTAGATCTACATGCCCGATGAAAAATCGTCTCAGCCAGCTGCTGACATTGGGAAGCGTATTTTCTACCAAATAATCTATCCGGCAATTCACGTTCGTCTAAGATATTAGCTGAGGGAAAGGTAACTGAATTATGTTGTTTGCTGTTTTTTCTCAAAAATTCCCATCGTAATATTATAAAAACCGTGAACACAACCACATGTTGAAGTTGCAGATCGTTTCGGTATCTATATTAAAAAGATTGTCAAAACTGCGCGTGCCACCTTTATTTATTTATCCGTTCTTCAATTTTACTTAAATTAGAAGTTTGTGAAAACATGGGTTTCTACCTTTCAAGGAACAACGCAGGAAAACAGTATCCCGTCTACTACTTCGTCCACCTTGTTTGTCTGTACATATTATCTGGAAAACGTTACTGGACCTGTTAACACAGTATGTTTCCATGGATGTATCTGGACATACCCAGAAGCAAATATTCAGCAGCTAATCTGCAGCTATTCTCAGTAAAATTTCTCTCTTCAAAATCTGTACACCATCCTAAAAAGACACTGAATATAAGGAAATCCATTTTTTAATAACCCTTTCAAATTTATTTTTTATCTGTGTACTTTTTTGTGGAATCCTAATCTACAAACCCCCCACTATAATGGACTTCATGAACAGCCAGCATTTATCTACAGGTATGTCACACCACCTTAAACACAAAGAATCCAAGATACAGTCTGCACCTGTACACTGACACATCTTCCATAAATAGGAAACGTGTGATGCAAAATCTTTGAACAGAGGATCCACAGTTATCCGAACAGTTAACTAGCATTGAAATAGAATGTTACACAACATATAAATATACTGCTTTTTCTTCAGATATATTTAACTGCTAACTACTAATGTAAATAAGAGGCAAAGAATATATTCAAACTTTAAAGCTTTTTGTCAATAAAATTTTGCTTCTTAAACAATGATAATCTTTGTTTTATTAGATCTGAGACCATATCCCTTAGGGACATAACACTAATTCTGATCTATTTCCTTTTCTGAGATACTTACTTGTGTCATCAAAATTACATTAAAGTTGCTTAAAAATTTGGTAAAAGTCATAACAAAAGTTTAGGAAAACATACATGAAAATGTCCTGAAGCTTTCACCTCCTGCAATTAAACCAGTGTGCAATTTATATGAATTTAAGCTTATTTTCCAAATAAGCATCAACAAACCTTGAACAATTTTTCCAAAACCAACATCTTAATAAACACTACTTTGGCTCAGTCTTCAAATATTGGTAACCTCCTCAAAAGCTGATGATTTCTAAGAAGTATTACATGAAATCGGGGTTGAATATTATATGTTTCAATATCCATTCCAGTTACATGAACAGTCAACAATTTTGTAAGTTATTTGGTTCCAAGACTGAATAATGCTTGGGTGTGACCAGAACGTAGCCTTTGGGTTTTTTCAAATTCTCTGGATGTTGAAATAATTTTATTATGAGTGATGATACTAGTGATCACTCTCTGAATAATCTTATTAGTAAACATATTATTTAAAGACCAAATATATCTTAAAACAAACTAGCTATCTTAGTACCAAGTGATGTTCAGCCATGATATGTATATAGTGTTTGTTTACCTAGTTCTGCCTTAAATTCACATGAATCTGATATGTGAGTCAATTAAGTAATTATTTATAATTGATTGGATTATTATCTATTTTATTACCTTTCCACGTTTCCTGAAGGAGGCAAGATTCTAAAAACATACCTTGCTATCATTTCCAGTGAATTATAATTAAAATGACAGAACTATGTTATTACTCCTAAAATGTACCAAAGTAAACCCAACCCCAACCCCAACCCTACATGTAAAATAATTATGCTGTGACAAAAAGTCAAAACAAATAATGTTCTCATAGTTAGGAAATAAGCTTATATTTCACTCCGTCCGATATTCCAGAAAGTCACTATTCTTCTCACATAGTTTTCGTCTCCGATCCACATGGAGTAAGCTAAATGAATTCAAAGTCCATCTCTTTTATAGAAATTTTGAAATATTTAAGACATGGTTTTATAGACACTCATTTGACTTAGTTTTGATGTTTGGATATTGCGTGATAGGCAACTGCTGACACTGACAATATTTCCGTTTGGATAAAAAATATTACTTCTCGAATACTAGTATTTAGATACTGTACTGTACATAATAGGCCTTCAGATTGTGCTTTTGAAACTTTAAAACATCCTAAAATGTGTGACAAATTTAAGAATATCAAATCGCGAATGCAACCATATCCACCACATTGTTCTTAAATGTAACAAGTTTTGCTATTTCCGGTCGACCCTAACCGAAATCAGCTCGCTGTCAGATTTGTCATTTCAGGTTTATGGTGTACCAACTCAATGCCCAGTAGTGACTAAAACGTGAAGCAAAAACAATTTTGTAGTTACAAGAATTGTCCGTGTTTATAACACTTTAAAAATCCTAAACTGCCATTTGTTGTCATCTATTGGTAATGCTTTTGCACATGTGCGAAAGTGTGTAAATTTGTGTAAATTCTCACCTTCGAGCAAACTAGGTTTCGTAAACGACGGTGCCGACATTTAACTGCTCGTTAGGCCTATCGCATTCCTTGATCCGCCTCAATTTTTTGTCTTGATCGTAATGGTTTTGTTAAAGGTACACATCAAATCACAGCAATATGTAATAGATATAGCGAGTGTAAATGGCATAATTCGAAGCACATCGCTTCGGAGGCATCGTTTGACCCCGGAAATAAGTCTGACAAATCCACACAGCGCGCCCGGCCTGCTGATTGGCCAAAATTGACGCATGCGCCAGTTTTGATTGACAGACTGGATCGGTCTATTATTTTTAAGCGCGATATGAGAAGGTGTACCACTCGATAAATGTGGTCCGCCACTGTGGTCGCTGAACGTGAGTGAAATAGCGACGATAGTAACAAACAACCCCATTTATATTGAAAAGGAGCCCTAGGGAGACCAGAGATTCTGAGGAAATCTAGACTTGCTTTATTTAGGGCTTTAGCACAGCAGAGAGGGCTTGGCAGCAGTAGGAAATTAATGTGGTTCAGGGACTGTGAGACAGACTAAATGGTTCCCGGCACCTTTGCATCTGTAACTACTCGCCTCTTTCCGTGACCTACAAGAATCCGGCTTGCCAGAATGACACGAGTAGTTACGAATGGCACCCTTTGCTGCACACTCCGGCACAGCGATGACTGAACATAACATCACTGCCACAGGCTAATTTGCATATCACGTGACCGGACTTTTCTCTTGTTTGTAATCAAACGCGCATATTCATAATAAGAAGAGACTGGACTCACGAAAGCTCTTCGGCGCTCTCTTCATAGTGTTTTACATTGTTACATATATATTCTTCCACAACTGCGACAGTTAGGTCTATGACAGTACATATTTAGATATCAAACTGGCTGCATCGTTTGCTCTCCGTCGGCTTCGATGACAGCACGTGGAGCCGTACAACCTATGTAAACAAAGGATCGCTACGCAAATCGAAATAGTGTTACATGTTTTAGGATATTTTCTCAGTGAAACTAAGCCATTCTATCAAAGATGTTTAATTAGATGTGTAGGCTCGTTAAAAATAAAAGAGTTAAGAAATATGTACATTATACTAAATGGACAGTGCAAGATGTGACGAATCGTCACATTTTTCTGGCCTGTGGCAGAGGTACTATGCTGGCTGGCCCCATGGAACTCTGGGTAGGAGAGTGCCTTTGCTGCTGCATAGGGATGACCTAAAACTCGGAACGGGCCGGACCAACTATATTATTGGCTAACAAATCCATTATCGAAAACCATGCCTACAATTAATTAATGCAACATACACTCATGATAATAATGATCAACCAGAAGCCACAAAAGTATACCATAATAACCTTATTACGAGTAAATCGCTGAAAACTCAAGAAGGAGGAGCGGCTGAGCAAGGCTACGTCTAAAGATGAATCTTTAAACAAAACAGGATTTAAAACAGAAATACTGCTGTCAATCCTTAAACACGTTTCTGTCAGCCCGAAAAGTTTTTACATCTATATCCCATTGAATACCGCCCAACAAGTTACTGTTCATTGTTTTTAAATCATGCCCACCCGTAAATGACAAGATCTCTTCCCCACACAAGGGAGACTATATATGTTGTAGAGTCTCCCAGCCCACTCTCAACACATCTCCGTCACAATTGTTCGATCCGGCTTGGCCTGGGTTCTCAAAAGCACCTTAAACCTCACACATGTATCTTTATGCGTTTAAATCCATATACGTTTGTAAACTGAGAGATTAGATGCTTAACTTTCTCGCATGAAAAGAATAAGTGTTCAAGAGATTCTATTTCTCTGCCACATGAAGTACAGAGATTATCGTGATTAATACCTATTTTGTTGAAGCCATTTGATTTTTTTTCTGTGCATCACTTTAAACTTATTTTCTATAGTAGTAGTATTTATCATTGCAAAACAGTCTGTGTGATAATTCTTCAGCTTGGATTCCCATCTATGTTGACTTGATAGTAATACTGCAGCAACTGTTGCAAGAAAAATGGCTGCCACTGTATTTGAGCTGATAATAACGATAAACCAGAAGACACAAACGCGTACCATAATCACTTTATTACGAGTAAATCGCTTAAAACTCAAGAAGACGAGCGGTCTGTGAAAGTGGCTGACAAACGTGTCCTTAAACTAAACAGGGTTTAACGCATAAATACTTCAGTCAATCCCGATAAACATTTCTGTAGAACCGAAAATGTTTTACATCTATATCCAATCAAATACCACCCTAGAAGGTCCCTGTTCATTGTATGTAAAGCATGCTTCTCTGCAAATGGAACGATCTCTTCCCCACACTCTCAACATGTAATCTCCGCCACATTTGTTCGATCCGGCTTGGCTCGGGCCGTCAAAAGCAACCTAAACTCCACACATATCTATTTCCAAAAGTGGAATCGGATTGGTAAACAAGCAGTTTGTTTCTTATCTGAATACCGCTCCGGGATACAAATACCGTATAAATATAACAATCATGAGGAGAAAAAACAAACAATAGTTTTGTGTAAAATGTAACAATCAACAATAACAATTAGTGT